GGGAGGGCAAATGGAGATTTTTCAGTATCTTTTAATTTTGTTCCTTGCTGAGTTCTCCCTAGCAACATCACGGGCTACAGTGTGTCTGGGAAACCGCAGTGGTAGGTCGTTTCCCTACCCCCACTCCACTCACAGCACCTCAGAGAGCTAGAAAGGAAACACATCAATCATCACAAATTGCTCAATACCTCTGGAATGTTCTGTTTCTAAGCCAGTTTCCTTCTCTGTTCTCTTGGCTGCTTCTACCGTAACATCTACTACTGCACCCATACCAGGCTTTTAAGGGGCTTTCCCCAATGGAGTCACAGCCCTATTAATTCTTTGCAAAGGGGTCAGAAAGATCTAATATTAGATTGTCAGTCTCTGTCACTTGATGCTGTATGGAATTCAGAATGCCAGCCTGAATCTGGTTGAGGAATTTCTCTTATTTTATTTATTGCTTTGTGAGAGGAGGGGGGGAGAGGGAGGGAGAAACATCGATTTATTGTTCCACTTAATAATGCATTCATTGGTTGATTCTTGTATGTGCCCTGATTGGGGATGGAACCTACAACCTTGACATAGCAGGACGACGCTCTAACCAACTGAGCAATCTGGCCAGGTCAGGGAATTTCTTGAAGGTTCTCCTGCTTCCCATCTTTATGGCTTTCAAATGTTCAGCAGGGCTGCTATCTGCGCCTGCCTCCTTACTCAGTCCGGGTTCTGCACATGCAGCTAGCCTGTGACTGCTGCATGTCAAGTGGCTGGAACCAATCAGCTTATCTCGGGCTTTCTCAGAGGCCAATCAGAGCCTAGGAAAGTGACCTCACCCAAGGGAGAGCTATGTGGGTGAGAAAGCATCTCTCAGAGCTGTGTGTCCCTAAATCACTCCCCTGCCCCCCTTCTTAGTTCCTGTAAAGCAACCCAAAGAAGGAAGTGAGAAAGGCTAACTAAATCCCACATGAGAAGAACCAAGAGAAACTGCAGCTTAGCCACAGGGCTTCTAGAAGTAGAGAACAGAATATTCAGAGGGCTTCACCTGCACAGACAAGTTTTTCAAAGTGGTGTCTCCAGGGCCTGGAAGAGGGCGAGTGTGCTGAGGAAGAATCAGCTCCTCCTCCCTGTTCCCTTGCCACACCTGGCCTTCTTCTACCCACAAAAATAGCTGCAATCGTTCTTTGTAAACAAGGACAGGCTTGAGGTCAAGTGTGGGAAAGAGAGCGCCTGTGTCCCTGTCAACACATGTGAACAGGCACAATCCTGTCCTCGTGGCCTGAGGACCAGAGGCTCAGAAGTCAGCTGATCTCAGGGCCTGAGCTGTTCCCTATGACTCACTCTGCACAGCCCTGCAGATGGGTCTCCTGCATGTTCCTGGGCAAGGCTAGATGGCGAGCATGTGTCCCAGCACTGGGGCGGGAGGGAAGGGGCAAAGAACAGGAAGGCTGTAACCCCCAGGTGCGACCCTGGACTCTGACAGGCAGGGAGAGAATGGCTCAGCTGGGCATCCCCCCATTCCTCCAGCCCTCTCCCATCAGGCCTCACCCTGAACAGAAAGAGAGATACAAAATTTTTATTTAAAAAATATAAAACTGGCCTTACTCCTAACTGCTCCCACCCCAATTATCTTCACAAAGAACTATAAAAAATGGGCACGGGCATGTGTACAGCGGCCTCAGGTCTAACAATTCCACTTCTTTCCACCCTCCTCTCTCCCCGTCATACAATTAAGACATGGGTCCTCTGCGGTGTCGCTGAGATATCAGAAGTGACACGAGGGCAGAGGGCGGGGAAGGGTCTGCCTGTCGCCGGTCTCCATTCTGTATCCAGGGACCAAGCGGGCTGTCTGGACGCTGGGCGAATGACTGGCTTGTCCACAAAACCGACTAATAGGGACCGTTACTATCTGTATCTTAAATCAGAAACATGCGGAGGCGCCGGCTGCTGTCCAGGGCCCTTGTTCAGTATATAGCCTCGTCCATATTGTCATCGCTGTCACCCCCGAAGTCCTCTCCGTTGTCGAAATAGGACATGATGTAATCTGTTTCCTGTAATGAAAATAAAGAAAAGTCAGGCACCTTTTGGGATCCCCCGCCCTCCCCACGGGCCCTTCCCTCCCAGCCAGGCCACTGGGCCTGGACACCTGCTGGGGGCAGGTGAGGGAGGCCTGCCCGGGGCTCCCCGCTCCGCCCTCCGGGGCAGCCGGGCACCTCCTCGTGCTCCTCCTCATCGTACTCCTCCTCCTCTCCCTCCTCCTTCTCCTCCTCCTCTTTCTCCTCCTCTTCCTCCGACGTCACCTCTTCCTCCTTCTTCTCCAGGGTCTTGTTTGGGTTGTTTTAAGATTTTTTTTTTATTGATTTTTGAGAGAGAGAGAGAGAGGAGGGGAGAGGGAGAGAGAAACGCTGATGTGAGAGCGGGATGCCCACTGGGGATGCAGCCCGAAGCCCGGGCCTGGGCCCTGACCGGGGGCTGAACCAGCACCTGCCGGCCAGCCGGCCGGGGCTCCCAGGCTCCCGTGGGAGTGTGAGCAGGAAGACAAATGGACCTGCTCACGGAAGGAGGCACTGAGGCCCCCTGGCCCAGAGGAGGGAATGGGTCTGGGCCCGCTGGGCCCTGTGCCCATGTCCTCCTACCTCCAGCTTCTGTATGGTTTCCTCCTTGTCTTCTGTGGTCTTGGGGGGCCTCTTGGGGAGTAGAATGGTGGTCCCTGGTGAGAAGATCAAAAAGTGAGCCATCAGAAAGCCAGCTTGCTAGTTCCCGGGCTACCCTCCCTGCAAAGACCACGTCACTCTGCTGCCCTCCGGTGGCCACCAGGGCACCCACGACAACACTGGGCGCTGCGGCAGGAACTGGGAGGGCAGGCAAGCAGCCCTGGCCCTTGGGCTGAAGAAGGAAAACGCTTCCCTTCTTTTTCCAGATACTTACGTTCCTTCTGGAGCTTCCGCACTCGGATCCTTAGCTCCCGGGGCAGACGGCGCCAGTCTGGGAACAGTGGGAATGTAAAAGTCAGTAAGACCCTGGGGGCTCTTCTATGGCTGGTTTTAAAGGAGAGAGAGGATCGGGATAAAGGTGAGGAATGAAGGGGTTGGGTCAAAGCCGCTTGGAACAAAACTGTGGCTCGGATGCTTCCAGGGGAGTGAGGGCTATTTAGCAGGTTTTTAGGCAGAGCCTGAGAGTGTTTACTAGCATATCTACAGGTCCAGTTTGTAAATACTGAATGGGGTGGAGGGGGGACAGAAGGGGGTGAATGGGGTGGTGGCTGGTGGCTTGAGGCATCTCAAACATTTGAAAGAAGGGCAGTCAGTGAAAAGACCCATCACCTACCAGGGTTCCAATCGATGGCGCTGTCAATCGGCCCTGACATCTGATATTTGTCTGAGTAACGCTCCACATCTGAGGGGTCAGAGGCCAAGGGTCAAAGTTTTATCCTTTCAGAGGCCTAGAGTAGGATTGTTCTGGAGGGCCCAGCCCCCTCAATACTTGGGAGTTGTCTGCTCCCTCAGACCAAACTCAGAGCCCGGGGGGTCTGCTTCAGTGAGGGCCTTCAACAGACTTGTAACCTGTCCCTTTGCCACTTAAAATTACAATTTTGTCATCTCCCTTAACCCAAAGGCATGACTATATCAAGAGGCAGTGTGATGCAGTAAAAGTATACTAGAGAGCAAGAAACCAGGGTTTCCACACTCCCTTTACTCCTTGTTAAGGGGTCCTTGACAAGCCTTGCCTCTCTCTGAGCTTCAGCTTCTAGGGCTCTAGTAGGAAAGCACAGTTGTCGGTATCCTGCAATACTGTACTTCCACAGCAGCTAGTAAATACCACTACCCCAGGCCTCCCAAGTACACCCTTTCTCCAGTCCCTCCTGGTCTCCGACTTCTCCACAATCCACTAACCAAAAAGGTAATACTTCAGTTAGCAGGGTATCTCAGAGACCTAGAGCCAGCCCCCACTTCTGATTGGTTGGTACTGGTAATATCCAGATTATTAAAAATTATAATACCCCCCCTGCTTTATACATGTGAAATACTTAACCTCCTACTGTCCCTTCTACTGTGAAACACAGAACAAACCATGGATTCTGTCATGCATTTCAAATTCAGGGATCATTATAATGATCTCCTCAGTTAGACGGGGAGCTTCCTATGCCTCTTCTGGCATCTCTGGCCCCCAGTAGTGCTGAATATCGGGCACTGCCCAGGGAAGGCACAGAACATGATGCTAGCATTCCAACTGACCTCTCTTGGGGACAGCTGGCCGGATGAAATAGGGGAGCTGCCTCATAGCCCCTCGCAGCTCCTGCTTCAGTGCCAGGACATATTCCCCCTCCTCTCCTGAGGGCAGAGGCACTGGGCGGAACTCCAGTGGCTAAGGAGACAGGAGCAGTGGTCAGTCCAGGGAGAAAATGCTGGGGTACAAATCCAGAAGGCTGTCTCCCCTCAATTCAATCCAATGCTACTCTTGAGCAAAGGGCCAAAGGATAGTAAGGGGAGCAACACAGCATTTTGAAAGCTGGGGAGCTAGGATTGTGAGAAGTAAGGAGAGGTACGTCCTTGCCTGCAAAACATCCCATGTGAGCACCCGCACAGGGACAGGGAGGGGCAAGATTAGCATGGTTTTCTGATGGCCCAGGAGAAACCCGCGATCATACAGTCAGCCAGGGGCACTGGGAGGCTTGGGAAGGGAGGGCAGACACTCACGGGGAAGAGTGGAGAAGGCTGCAGTGTGGGTGGGGGCAGAGCATCGCCCTTCCCAATGCCCACAGCCTCCATGTTGAAGGTCAACTGGCCACGACCCCGGCCCCGGCTGGCCATGGTGGCAGGGGCCTGGGCATTCAGAGATCCAGTGAGAAAAACCTGATAAAGACAAAAACAAAGAGAAAAAGTATAGTAGAAGGGATAGGAAGCCAGGGAGGTATAAGACACTCAATATTTTTCTCTGGGAAAAAAAATATATATATTTTTTTCTCTGAGACCTGAAAAGACAGTGTAATTCAACAAATTTTGATTGAGAAAGTATAGTGCCAGGCAAGGTATTTCCGGAAATATAAACATGGATGAGATGCAGTCTCAACAGGACGGGTAATTGCAATCTAGTGTAACTGTAGCACAAAGGGGAAAGTGATTAGATCCTTGGATAAAACTTTCCTTCATCCTTAAGATAATTTGATGTTTATCACCATCTGCATATCTACACATGACCTTTTAATTCTTTCTCTCCCTGGCTTTCCAAACCCAACCAAGCCCCAATTCAATGCATTTCAACAAGACATTTATTAAGTATATGCCATGAAAAAAGTAGTGTGACAGGCACTGTGGGGGCACAGGGACAAATCATCAGTCTCACTGTCAGTGGTGGGGGTGGGCAGAGAGGAGAACCATGACAATCAAACTGATCTTTTAAAACTCCACTTGGAAGCACAGAACTTAGGACTGGAAGGACCCACAGAGTTACCTAGTCCAAACCCCCTCCCAGGGTAGTACTCCGCTCGGTTAGTGATTCTGCTTCCGGAGGCATTTTCCTAAAGAGAGGGTGTCTATTTCCCCCTGGCAGTCCATTCCTCTGTGATCCGCTCTGATGAATGGAAAGCTCCTCTTGCTACTGAACTGAACTCTGACTCTTGTCATCAGCAGTCTTGAGGGGAGAGTCAAATGCAGCCAGGATGGGGGATAAAGTCACCAAATGAAAATGAAATGAAAAAAATGATACCCTGCTAGCAAGGAACACACCTAGCACCCAGATCTTGGTTTCCAATACCATTTTCCAATAAAAGGAACCAAGGCTTCTTGGAGAACTGGCTGATTCCAGGCCTAGGGCAGGAAATATACAGGATAAGCCTGAAGAATCTTCTAGTGCCAGAAGGTAAGGAAGTGCTAGAACAGCACCGCCAGAAACGCCACACGTTGACCGGGCTATGCCGAAGGAGGGTGAGAGCCATATGAAAGAGAGCCCAGTGGCCCACACTGGAACAACTCGAACAATAAAATAAAGTAGTATTGGATTATAACCCAAAAGCATAAAATAAATACCCATGAGTCCGTACTACTATAAATAAATGATTAAATCAGTTAATACACGGGGGAGAGAGGACAAATCTCTCATGCAGAGTTCCAAATATGTTATGTAGATTCCCCTAAAGACAAAGGGTAGAACTCCCCTCTCCTTAAGTGTGGGCTGTGGATAGGGAATGTTATCCAATACGTACAATTTTTGAAGGGGGGCTAGTAACTTTACAATGGAGAAGTTGAATGAACACTAACTCCTTCAGTCAGGTGACGAAGGTCAATATCAACAATATTAAATCATGTCATTAATATGTACTCTTAGTACTGAAGTGATGAAAATGGCACTTTGCCACTTTACCGCTGTGATCCCCTCTCACCCAAATCCATAACCCATCTAATCCCGGGTTGTAGGCCAGCAGAGGAGCATCCTGTCATATGCCTGACCAGCGCTCTGTAACACTGCCAAAGTCACCAAAAACAAGGAAGGTCCACTCTCCCATTGTAAAAGGGGGAGGGCTGTCCTAGTGGTAGCATTCTTAAAAATAAAGAACACCATCCCTTTTGTTTTCTGATTATAGAAGTAATATACACTTATTCTAGAAAACATGGAAACACATAAAGGTATAAAGAAAACTACCTATTATTTCATGATGATCACCATGTAGTAATAACCATTATTAATATTTTAATATGAATCCTTTTAATTTCATTTCCGTGTGTATACAGGCATATACATGCAAAAACACACACACACACACACACACACACACACACACACACACAATAGGGCCATGACAGCTAAATGTAATTAGTATACTGGGTGGAATCCTGGAAGAGAAAAAGAGCAGTAGGTAAAAACTAAGGAAATACGAATCAAGTATGACCTTAAAGAATATCATGCATCGGTATGGTTTCACAATGGTAACTTATGTACCATACTAACGTATGATGCTAACAAGAGGGGAAATCCTGTGCCAGGGCATATAGGAACTTTCCATACTACCTCTTCAGTTCTTCTGTAAATTTAAAACTGTTTTAAAAAATAAAATCTTTTTTTTTTTAAATCCTCACCTGAGGATATTTTTTCCATTGTTTTTCAGAGAGAGTGAGAAACATTAGTTGGTTGCCTCCCGTACGCACCCTGACCCGGGCCCCAACCTGGAGCCAGGATCAAGCCTGCAACCCAGGTACCTGCCCTTGGCCCCCTCAGCCCGAGGGCCGACGTTCTAACCACAGAGCCAAGCCGGCTAGGGCAGACCTTGACCGTTCTGAAGCATACTGATCAGGTACATGATGGGATGCTCTTCTGATATAAACTGCCTGACGATTTTCTCCTGATTGGACTGGGGTTATGGGTTTGGGGGAGGAGAATCACAGAGCTAAAGTACCATTTCATCACATCATCATAAGGGTACATACTAACAACCTGTTAGGAAACAGTAAGAAATAACACAGTATATAATTAAGATCTCTTAAATTAGTGCTTCATGCTATAATTGCTCCCACAGTCCAGAGAAGGGAGAAAGCTAGGAAGTCTGGGATGGCGAGGGGAAGACTTATGAATCACAAGTTCTCAAGTTTGGAAGAACTCTTAGAGATCATGCAGTAATTCATCATGCAACAAATATTTATTGAGCATCTACTACATGCCAGACACAATGCTAGATAATGGGATCATAGTGAGTGCTCTACTCTAGACTTGCATCCTTCTTCTGATAAACCATATTTAGCAAATTGTCATTCATTTTCTCTTTAAACATGTTTAGTGGGAGAACTCCCAGTCTCCCTGTGTAAGTCCTTCCATTTTTGGATATTTGTTCTTCAATTAATATTCAACAAATACTCTACACAAGAAATGAAGGGCATTCTACAAAAGATTAGTTGGTAAAAAAAGATTTTAAAATATTTATAATCAATGTTGTCAAACATACACACACATTTATGAATAAAAATGTTCTTAAAGAATATACATAGAAAGTTAACATCAGTTAATTTGAGGTGTATTTTGTTGTTGTTTGGGGGTTTTTTGTTATTTGTAATTTAAGGTTTTCTTCTATACTGAATAGGTACTGTTTTTGTAATAAGAGAAAAATATTAATTTAAAATTTAAAATATATACTACAATAGTAGATGAGACAATATGTAGCAGGAAGGAGAGGGTAAAAGAATATGTGTCTGAGAATTTGGAAAGTTTCAAGTCCCATTGCAACAAAAAATGTGAAGAAAAAAATGGCTGTTAATAGATTAAATTGCGATCTGATTGAAGAGCATATTAGGGGAGAGAGGAAGTCTCACAGACACTGGAGTAAGAATTCATCACCATGTCCTCAGGCCCTTTCAAGGGAAAGAACACTGTAACCAGCTGGCATAGGTTCTTTCCACTTGACAGATACAGTTCAAGAAGTGGAGATGGGAGCTGTTTTGACTGCAAAGCAGTGAGGAGTCAGGAAAAGGCTATGAGTTTTGAGGTTAGGTAAATCTAACTCCATTTCCACATACGTACCAAGTGACTCCCAACGAAGTGGGGTAAGATAAGACAAAATTTTATTTAATTCAGGCAATAAACTGGTGTTTGGGAAATTAAACCACCCATCTCTAACCCACTCAGTTCAGTAATTACAATGAGTCTCTTATATTTGAGATTGTGATAGTGTCTCAATTCTTGAAAATATTTAAAACCTCCCATAGTAGTGGTTCCAAACTACTCTTCTTAATATCAACTCTCCCTGGTGTTCACCCCTGCATTCTCCTTCCCCCAAAACAACAACATCTCCTATACATTATATTCATTTCCAGTAATGCATAACTGTGTATTATGGTAGAAGTTACTGAGAATAGGTTGCAACAAAACATACAGAAAAACAGTTACATCGAATTTAAGGAAGGCAGCACATGCAGCGGTTAAGAACATGGACTTGGATCCCAGTTCTGTCATTTCCTAGCTACATAACCTTCAGCAATTTATTTAATATCTCTAAACCTGTTTTTTCATCTGCAAAAAGAGAATAATAAAAATAAAATCACCTTAATTCATTTAACAAATGTTTACTGAGAGCTTACTATGTGCCAGGCACTGTTCTAAGAGATCCAGAGACTGAGGCCTAGGGCACTCTAATGTTTAGACTTTCCTATGTTTGTAATAAATAAGACAAGGAGTTAACACTCATTATATTAGAATCCATGGAAATCTAAATGGGGAAAAATCATCCCAAAAGAATAAATATGCAAAGGATATGAATAGACAATTGACAAAAGTATGACCAATAAAACGACTCTTTACCTATCAGGCTGATAAAGATTTAAATTATAATCAGGCTCTCATGAATTTTGTTGAGATGGAAACTCATAATTCACTGGAACACAATCTTCTGAGGGAATAATCTGACCACTTGAATCAACAGCCTTATTATTTATTTATTTATTTATTTATTTATTTATTTATTTATTTATTTATAGAGAGGGAGGAAGAGAGAGAGAGAGAGAAAAACCACACCAAAAAAAGCACTGATGATTGGAACCTGCAACCTGGGTCTATGCTCTGACTGGAAACTGAACTGGCCCCCTCTAGTGTAGGGTACGATGCTCCAACTAACAGTCATACCTGCCAGGGCTCAACAGCTTTTTTTAATGTTCATATCCTTATTAATCCTATTTAAAAAAATCTATCCTAAAGAAATCATCTGATATATAGTAAGAGATATAAGTTCAAGAATGCTCATCAAAGAGCTATTCATAGTAGCAAAAATCCTGAAATAACTTAAATGGTCCAACAAAAAAATGAATGATTAGCCCTAGGTGATTTCACTCAATGGCTAGAGCATTAGCCTGCAGACTGAAGGGTCCCAAGTTCGATTCAGGCCAAGGGCATGTACCTTAATGTTTCTCTCTCTCTCCCCCTTCCACTCTCTCTGAAAAGCAATGGAAAAAATATCCTTGGGTAAGGATTTAAAACAAGAAAAATGATTTTAAAAGTTCAAAATATCCATTTTAAACTATTATGTAGCCATAAAAATGACTTCAAATAATATTTAAAGGACCCAGCTGGTGTTGCTTAGTGGTTGAGCATCAACCTGTGAACCAAGAGGTTCAATTCCCAGTCAGCTCTATCCCCAGTAGGGGATATGCAAGAGGCAGCCAATTGATATTTCTATCTCTCTATCCCTCTTTCTTTCTCTCTCTCTAAAATCAATAAAAACATTTAAAAAATAAAATAATAATATTTAAAGGCAAAAAAAAATCCCAATATAATGTAAACTGGGGGAAAACATGATAAAAATTGCTTTTATTGTATGACCCTATTTATGTAATATAAACATATGCACACACATGCATACATGCAAAAAAGAAATTGATAGAATACATATTAAAATAATAATAATAGTGGTTATCACTACATCATGGTCATAAAATAATAGGTATTTTTCTTTATACCTTTATGTGTTTCCAAGTTTTCTAGAATAAATGTATATTACTTCTATAATCAGAAAATAGAAGGAATGGTGTCTTTATTTTTAAGAATGCTACCACTAGGAAAGCTCTTCCCCTTTTACAATGGGAGGGTGGAATGCATTTTTTCAAGCTATATATTTGTTTAGAATATTTGTTGAATTTGAATTGAAGAACAAAAATCCAAAATGGAATGACCCACAAAGTGAGATAGGAAGTCCTTTTACTAAAGACGATTAAATAGAAGCTGGATGACAATTTACTAAATAGGGTTTACTGGAGGAAGTATGCATGTCTAGAGTAAAGGATTTATTATGATCCCCATTGTCTAGCACTGTCTGGCATGTAGTAGATGCTCAATAAATATCTGTTGATTGAATGAATACATGATTTCTAAGCGTTCTTCCATACTTGAGACATTGTGATTCATAAAGCCCACCCTCACCATCCCAGGCCTCCTGGCTTTCTACCTTCTCTGAACTGTGGGAGCAATTATATTATGAACCACTAATTTTAAGAGACCTTAATTATATATTGTATTGTCTTGGATTTTGTCTTTTATTAACCATTCTCTAATTACACTAGGAGTATAAATTCTGCATCCCCAATCAATTCCATCCAGCCAGACTTTATTGGGCACCGTGTACTACGTATTAGAACCCGCCCTACGAAAGCTTATATTCTGAGCAGACTAGAAACATTAAAGAGGGAGGGTGCACTAAGTACTCTAATAGAAGTATGCATAAAATGCTATCATCAGACTGGGGAACGATTAATTCTGAAAAAAAAAAAAGGTGTTACAAGAAAGCTACAGGTAAGAAACAGGTAACATTTCAGCTGAGCTTTGATGGATGACAGAAGTCTGTCAGGCTCTGAGACAGGGAAGTATTAATAGGTTCGAGGGAAGCTGATGCCATTGCAGAATCAGAAGTACGGGGGTGTCTTTCCCACTTTCTGCGTGAATAGCTCTTGCCTGTGCGCGACAGAAAACTACGGCTTTTCTGGTTTACCAGTCGATACAGCAAAGGGAACCCAGAAGAGAAAGGGCTGGGAGCCAGAAGGGGGCTGAGCCCACAGGCCGCCGGAGAGCTCTGTCCTGCCCGCAGCTTGCCCTGGTGAACTAGTTCGGGAAACGCGGGACGGAACCAGGTCCGAGCCGCCGGGTCCGGGCCTTACCTGCTGCCCCTCCCCCACGCGAGCCGACGCCGCGGCCCGCTGGAGATCTGCTCCTCTTCCTGGAGCGGGCTGCGTTCTAGGCCCGCCTCCCGGGGCTCCCCATTGGTGAATCCTCCCCGCCAATCTAGGAGACGCCGCGGCGGAGCCCCGCCCACCGGGCGCGGCGGGGGAGTCGGCCGGAACCGGGCTCCGGGAGCCGTCGCCGAGAGAGGCGCGGCCGCAGGGCCAACCGGGGGTCCGTTATTTCCGACCTCAGCTCAAATGGAGGCGCCACGGGCCTGCGAGAGTTCACCGGAGGGAACCTGGCGCCCGGCTCTCACCGGGGACGCAGAACTGCGCCCCCGCGGAACCCGCCCATCAGCGGTCAGCGTGTCGGCGTCTGGCCTCCCAGCCCGGCCTCCGCGACGCCCGCCTTCCCTCCGCGCCTCCGCTGCGTCCCTCTAGCACCACCAATGAATATTCCTTTTCTAAAAAAACGTTGTTTTCCTGTAGGGTGCTGCCATGTCTGAAAGAAGAAGCGAAGAGGGTGTGGGGAAGGAAGGGTTAAGAACCAGAGAACGGGAGTTAGGGCGGCGGGCCAGGAGCCCGGCGTTCCCCGCAATTTCTGCCGCCTTTAGAGGAGTCCTGCTGACACGCACGCACACGGCCCAGAGACGGGAAAGAGTCCCGAGTGGTGATAAAATCTAGGGGTGAGTCAAGAATATCCCAGATGCCAGAGGAAACGGCCCTGGGAGTAAAGCCTCTGGACGGGCCAGGCTGGAGGATGGGACGGGAGCAGCTGGGAGGCTTCGGAGAGCGCGCCTCACTCTACTAAGTCTCTGTGTCTTCATCTCGAACAAGAAGATGACTCCTTCCTTTTAGTATTGCTGTGAAGATTGGAGACAATGTATGTAAAGTACTCGGCACATAGTTGGTGTTCAATAAATGGTAGCTAGTAAAAATGAGTAGCTGCCCTGCAAATAAATATTCCTCCCCCTCCCCCCCCATTACTTTTAGTATCTTTAGTATGTCTGGTGGCCTCCAGCCTCCGAATTACCTCAGGTGAATTTTCCAGATCCTTGGGAATGTTTCCTCATCCCCCACTTCCCCTGATGCCTTCCAGCTGGACACAAACTCATTCCTAAAATATGCAGATGGAAGCTATGGTAACCATGGAGACAGGGCAGGTGGCAAAGAGGCAGAGACAGTGAGAGAAACCGATTGCGACGATGGGGGAGAGACTTAAGGAGCGATTTGGACGCAGACCTTCAAGCAAGAGGAAGAAAGAACCTAAGCAAGACAGTAAAGAGAGGCAGGGAGGGGATGTTACAGGTTCGCCTTTCTCTCTGTGCCTCCCCCAAGAATATGGGGAGGAGGCATCTGGGAATGCCCCTTTTTCTAAAAATGACCCATGATATCCACCCTCCTCAGACGCATTTGAGAGGTCTGTACAAGGGAGCTGAGGTCCAAGTTTGTGCTCTGTGTTCCGTTTGGGGGCGGAGGTGGAGTGAGGATGTACCACTGTGTCTGACTCCATCTCGCCCTGACATTTAAACTATGAGAAGCCAGCCCGATCCCTCGCCTCTCTCTGCACAGTGTGGACTCCGGCTGTGGATTCCAGTCTCCTCCCTCCACCCCTCTGCACAGTGTGCCCTGTGCCGTGCGTGGTAGGTAGGTCAGGTCTGGCGCACAAGTGCGCAGAAACACACCAAGCAAGAATGGGGACTTGCTGAAGCTCAAGAAAGAACCGAGAGGTCTCAGTGTGGGTGGCAGAGGAATCTTCTAAGGATCATTTAGGTTTGTTGGGACAGAGGGGAGGTCGGCTAAGCAAGGAAAATCAGGATTGGAGCCTGTAGGTTTGGAGGGTTTATGTGTGCATGAGTGGGGAACGGTTTGGTGCCCGACGCCCCCACCCGCGGAGACTAGGCTATAAATAGCAAGACAGAGCTCCGCCTTTCACATCCCCCCCACCCCCACCCCAGCTTCTCTCCTCCCCAGCCGGCGCTGTGCCCGGGGCGCACCGGGAGGAGGGACCAGGATCCGGTGCCCGGGCGCAGATACTGAGACCAAGGGAATCCAGGTGCCCCCCCACACACACGCCATGTGGGCCCCCGGGAACCCGGCTCCACCACCCCGAATGCCTGGTGGTCCTGGCCTCAGCCCTGGCCGGGTGGAGATTCTGCAGACATTCAGGTATCTATTTGGGCGCAAAGCCTGGGAGGGGGAAGAGCAAGGAGTGATGGGGAATACAGCAGGGGCAAAAGAAACCCCCAATTCTCCCCCACCCGTTTTAGGTCCCAAATGCAAGCTGCTTCCCTCCCCCCACTCAATTTATGGGGCTGTGGCAACCTAAAAGAGGTTAGGAATGGGAATGTGTGTGTGAATGTATGGGTGCATGTGCGTGGGCGGGTGGCATTCAGCATCGGAGAAAGGGGGATTCCAAGTGCAGATAAGAAAAGGGGGGTGCTGGAAAGGTCTGATAAGCCGTGGGGTGAGGGTGGGGGTGTGGATATCTCCGAGCGTGCACGTACGCATTTGCACGCGCGCTGGTCTTTTAATGCGGGTGCACCCTTCCCACCACCTCAGGCATGCTCGGGGGGAGGTGGCGGCTCAGGGCATGAGTTAGACAGAGGAAGGGCTGCGCGCGGTGCAGTGGAGTTCTCCTCCGCCCCACGCCGGTTCCTTCCACCCGTGCCTCAGTTTCCCTGCCTGAATCCGTCAATAAGATCTATCTCTTTCTTGCAGGGACTGGCTTCTCCACTGAGCCCTCAGGCCTCTTCCAGCCACCACCCCCACACCCCTAGCCTTCCTGGGCAGGTCCCAGTCCCGGCTCCGTCAGCGCTCTCGCCCCAGCCGCAGCTATGCTGCACACCGAGGGCCATGCTCTTCTTCGGGCGGTGGGTCAGGGTAAACTACGCTTGGCCCGTCTTCTTCTGGAGGGCGGCGCCTACGTGAATGAGGGTGATGCCCAGGGGGAAACAGCATTGATGGCAGCTTGTCGGGCCCGCTACGACGACCCCCAGAACAAGGCGCGCATGGTGCGCTACCTGCTAGAGCACGGCGCAGACCCCAACATCACAGACCGCCTGGGGCGCACCGCGCTCATGCACGCTTGCGCCGGGGGTGGGGGCGCCGCGGTGGCCTCGCTGCTGCTCGCCCACGGCGCAGACCCCTCAGTCCGAGACCACACGGGTGCCTCGGCGCTTGTCCACGCCCTGGACCGCGGGGACCGCGAGACCCTTGCCACGCTGCTGGACGCCTGTAAGGCCAAGGGCACGGAGGTCATCATCATCACCACGGACACCTCGCCCTCAGGCACCAAGAAGACTCGGCAGTATCTCAATTCCCCACCGTCCCCGGGGGTGGAGGACCCCACTCCCGCTGCTCCTAGCCCGGGCGCCTGCACGTCGCCTTCGGAAATCCAGCTGCAGGCTGCAGGGAGAGGAGGGGGGTTGCTGTCCCCGCGCGCCCAGGAAGAGGAAGAGAAGCGGGACGTATTCGAATTCCCTCTTCCTAAGCCCCCCGATGACCCCTCCCCTTCTGAGCCGCTCCCCAAACCACCCCGTCACCCTCCAAAGCCACTTAAAAGGCTCAACTCGGAGCCCTGGGGCCTAGTGGCTCCTCAACCGGTCCCGCCCGCGGAAGGGAGGCTGGGGATGGAGCGCCTGACCGCGGAATTCAACGGGCTGACCCTGACCGGCAGACCCCGTCTTTCCCGACGTCACAGCACCGAGGGCCCGGAGGACCCGCCCCCGTGGGTGGAGAAAGTGACGGGTGGGGGTGCCCTCTTTCGCCGAAACACCGCGCCAGAAGCTCAGGAGTCTGGTCCCCCTTCAGGGCTGAGGCAGAAACTGAGCCGCATGGAGCCGGTGGAGCTGGACATCCCCGGAAACCTCTGCCCTGACTCGCCCGAATGCAGCCGCCAGGCCCTGGAGCGCCGCCGGTACAGCGCCTCCCCGCTGACTCTCCCTTTGGCTGGCTCGGCTCCCTCCCCGAGACAGTCCCAGGAAAGCCTGCCCGGGGCGGTGTCTCCGCTGAGCGGGCGGAGGCGGAGCCCGGGGCTGCTGGAGCGGAGGGGCTCGGGAACCTTGCTCTTGGACCACATCTCGCAGACGCGGCCGGGTTTCCTGCCCCCGCTCAACGTCAGCCCTCACCCGCCCATCCCCGACATTCGCCCCCAACCCGGAGGTCGAGCGCCTTCGCTGCCCGCCCCTCCCCAGGCGGGGGCGCCAGGCTCGCCCAGGACCAAGCGCAAATTGGTGAGGCGCCACTCCATGCAGACTGAGCAGATCCGCCTGCTGGGGGGCCTCCAGAGTCTAGGCGGGCCTGGGGAGCCGGGGCGCTGAGAGGAGCCAGGAGGGTGGGGCTCAGGACCTTGGTGGGACAGGTGGGAGAACCAGCTCACACACACACAGGGGTCTTTCGCATGTGCTCCTGGGCAGGGTGCGCGCACACAGGGGCAAACGTGTCCGCAAGCAGTTACTCTTACTCGTGGGGAAGGGTAAGTACTCTTCTCACTGGGCGGACAGACACGTGGTTCATGCCCTGGTCACCTCACGTGCACACGAGAATTACCCACAGGCACGGCCCACACAGACCACTTGTGCTAGGGCCCCAAGTGGGTCCCGAATTCACCTGCATTTGTTCAGAAGCGGTAGGGAGCCCCCGCTCATGGGCTGTCTCCAATCTCCTTGCCCTCCTACAGAAGCAATCCCTTGCTTTCCATGTAAGCCCTGAAACAGCTCTCATGATTTGCACACCCGACCCCCTTCGGGAATGTTTCGCCCCGCTCTGCGGGTCTTGCTCGCCTCTCCAAGCCTGGCTCCCCGTTGGCCCTGCCTCAGTCCCAGCCACCCTTCAGGATACCTTCTCCGCGCTTGGGGTGTCCCCCTGCAGCCCCCAGCCTCAGCTCTGCTGCTGCCCTTCCCGCTCTCAGCTGTACTTCTCAACTTCCCGCTCTTCATTCCCACCCTGTTCCCCCAACCAGTACAATAAGCCGTCTCATTTTCCCAGGGGTGGGCCATGGGCTCTCACTGCTCTTCCGTCTGTCTGAGCTTATGAACACCCTCGAGGGTAGAAGTGGGGAGGAACCCTAAATCTACTCCACTCGACATATCGAATAAATGTGTTCAGAAGTCTCCACTCGTCTGTTCTGCCTAGGGGTGTGAGGTGTGGGCACTGAAGAAAGGGGGGTGCTAACTGTAGCTACAATGGTCCAGGGGATACTTAGAGGCTCCACCCACCTTCTTTCCAGGGGTCCAACTGACCAGCTGTGGTTGTAGAAGAAAAGGCAAGTATCCTGTGTCCTGGAGGTTCAAAGGCATTTGACATGCTTTCATCACCCCCTCCCCTATGTCCACCCTCAAATTCTTTAAGAATCCTGCAAAGAGTTCCTCCCTCCATCATCAGCAAATGTATCCCAGGAGATTAACTTCCCCTTTTTCAAGCTTCCTATTTCTTGACCACTCACAGGCTTTCCTCCGGGTTCTAACGTTCATCTCACCAGGTGCATCTCAATCGTTTTCTTCTGGCTTCTATTTCCCCATCTTCTGTTTCAGGGGGAAGAGAGAGAGGAATTAGTACAAACTTACCTAGGTACCCGTGGCACAGTGGTCAACTGACAAAGGGTGAGTGGAGCGTGTCTGTGTAAGGTAGTCCTAGGAACCTAGGTGACAGGCTCTGTGAACAGGGCATGCCTCTGGGCCTCTCCTTTGCAAGTTCTCTGCCTGTGCTCCGACCCCTCACTCCAGTGGGAGGCGAGGGAGCAGGCCACTCTGCTCTTTTTCACTCCCCCAAGTTAGAATAGTTACCCAACAACGTGCTGTAATGAAGAGACCAAAATACTGGGAACCCCAAGACAGACGTCTGAACCCCCACCCCTTGCCATCTCCTGTTTACTCTGGGCGATTTTTCTAGCTTCTCTGAGTGTGCAGTCTTACTCACAAAATAATAGGATATAGTTAGTGACCGTGATTATTAAATAAGACAACGCAGCGAGTACATCGCATAGTGTCTGACATGCAGTAAATCTCTTCTCATTAAACGTCAGCATCTCCCTTGCTTTTTAGCTCCTCCATCAGTTGCGTGTGATCTTGGACGAGTCCCATCCATTGCTTCCCTGAGCCAGTTTCCTCACCTACGGTCTGTACAACGAAGTCGACAAATGACCTCTACGTGTCCTCTCACTCTGTCTTCGATCCTTCCCGGCCTTGCTCCCAGACCAACCCCTTCCCCCTCCCCCCAGCCTCGCCCAGGGGCCCCGAGGGCCTTAGAGCGCTCCCGCCGAGGTGCCCCGACTCAGCTGCTGGGCTTCCGAGGAGACGGCTGTTCCTCCTTGCAATTGGGTGCTCAGAGCCCCCGCCTCCTCAGTGACTTGCCTATCGCGGAGCCGGAGCCCGCCAGCTCCCACCCCCTCCCTGGTGATTGGCATCGGGCCCGGCTCGTCCCCGCCCCCACTTGACTGACGGCTGGGCTCTGGCACCGCCCCCAGTCCCTGGGCGCTCGAGGGCCCGGGCGGCGGGGAC